ATATGTATGTATGTATGTATGTATGTATAAATAAATAAATGACAGATATACTGTTGCGGGCTAATGCTTTTAATTATTATTGTACGGTGCTGCGGGGAGGCTTCTCTGTGGCATTTTTTACAAAATGCTTAGTAGAAACCTCTGTCTCTTCCAACATTTCTCTTTTTTTAGAAAGTAAAATAGGTCAAATTGGAGGGAATCACACTTTGAATAGCATGCAACAGCAATTCCAGTCATTAGGCAAAAAAATGTCCCAGAGCTAAAGCTCTAGGTGTTGTTTGATCTAAGCTAGGGAAATGATTGAATAGATTTTCTTTTATTAGTTGTATTTAGTACAATTTAATATGGAAATTATGAAAGAAAAATAAAGGAAATACTGAAGCAAACACTTCCATAAACTGACATTATTATAATTTCTATTACATTAAAGCATTCTTTACTTGCACAGGAACTAACATAGGGTAGTCTGAAATTATTATCTTGCTGGTCTGTTTACATGTTTGCAGCTTGTACATTTGAATGCCACTGCACACTTCTACTATTTATTTTTCCCAATTAAATAGCAAAGGATATGATTTTGTTGCTTACATCTCAGTGGTTTGTGATGGATTGAGAAAGAGACTTTTTTTTTTTTAAAAGCCACTTTCTACCGCAGTATGGAAAATTGTTGCCTTCACCCCAATGAGGCTTTAAGCGTTGTTCTGTTTAGGACACTTGCTGTTCCTCTCCCCCTTTCATCTGACTCACTGAGCTGCTTGGAAAGAAGAGGCCATAAACTTGCCATTCCCAGTAACCTAAGCAGGTGTTGTGGTCAACAGCCACATTTGCTGTGTGTCTTCAGAGATAAGCTAGTCTTCAGTCTTTTCATCTTTAGATTCTTGCTAGATACCATAAATTGAGAACCCAGGGGGAAGCTTTTGTGCCCTATATGGAGGAAACCAAGCTCACTGATGGATTTAAGAGTACGTTGCCAGCAATCAGTCTTATATTCAATGAACCACAGAATTCATGAGTTGGCTAACTAATCTC